CACTTTGGGAGGTCAAGGCAGGAGGATCAATTGAGTTCAGAAGTTTGTGACCAGCCTGGGCAACATAGTGAGACCCTGTCTCTAAAAATAAATAAATAAATAAATTAGCCAGGTGCAGTGGTGCGCACTTGTAGTCCCAGTTACCTGGGAGGATGAGGTGAAGGATCCCTTGAGCCTGGGTGGTTGAGGCTGCAATGAGCTGTGATTGTGCCACTGCACAACAGCCTGGGCAACGGAGCAAGACTCTGTCTCAAAAAAAAAAAAAAAAAAAAAAAAATTTAATACAGTAGTTTTGAAATCAAGAAATGTGAATCCTCCAACTGTTTTCAAGATTGATCTGGGTATCTCCTGCATCTCTTGAATTTCTATATGACATTTAGAATCAGCCTGATTTCTACTAGAGGAAGCCAGCTGGGATTCTGATAGGATTGCGTTAGATCAATTTCAGTATTGCCATCTCAACAATATTAACCCTTCCCATTCATGAACGTGGAATGTCTATTTCCTTAAGTAATATTTTGTACTTTTCCCCATGTAAGTTTTGCACTTATATTGTTCATCCCTAAATATTTTATTCTTTCTGATGTTATTGTAGATATTTAAGAGAATTGTTTTCTTAATTTCATATTGTTCGTGACTGGTATATAGCACTACTAGTTTTTGTATGTTAATCTTGTATACTGCAGCTGATGAATTCATTTTTTAGCAGTTTTATTTGGAGATTCTTTACGGTTATCTGTATACAAGATCATATCATCTACATATAGACATAGCTTTGTCTTCTCAATTTCAGTCTGGATGCTCTTTTTCTCCTGCCTAATTGCCCTGGCTAGAACTTCTAATACAATGATGAATAAACCCATGGGTTTTCCTAAACGTCCTATATCAGGTTGAGGAAGTTCCCTTCTACTCTTGTTTTTATCATGAAAGTGTTTGTCAAGGTTTTTGTGTCTATTGAGATGATCAAGTGTCTTTTTCCTTTTATTGATATGGTATTCCAGCTTCTTTTGAAAGCTGAAATCGTAGGATGCCCCACATATAAAACAGCAGGGGAGGCTGCTCTGGTTGAAACAGTAAGGGAAGCTTGGGGCTACCAAGCTGGCTCAATGGCCTTTCCTTCCCAGGTAGCCTTGGGCTCCACAGAAAACTGAGCTGGGAGCCAAGAACAGCAAGCAGTCCCCATGGCTCTCATCCAGAACTCCTTCTTGGGCATGGCTGAGTCAGCCAACTAAGCTCAGACCCTTGGCCTCGAGGAGCCCTGGTGGTCAGGGCTGGCTGATTACAAGTACTCAACCACTTTATCAAACAGTAGCTCGTCAGCATCCTGCAAATTGCCTATTTATCCTGGTCCAGGGCTTCAGAGCCAACTCCTCCTTATGCCTCCGGCCAGGAGGTTGATCTTGGGGCTTTGGAGTCCTTAACACTTGCGCAATTTTGATGGTATCATTCCACTAAATGTTAGCAGTTCAGATCTATGGTTACCACAAAGTTTGTACTTCTAAAACCTTGATAATCAACCAAAAAGTACAGAGGTTCAGTATCTCAAACAGATTGCAGACAGCCCACTGATTACTTTTTGGGAAGAGTGATTAAGAAACTTTATTACAGAAAATGAATGCATCCAACGTCCCCAAATACATTTGTGACAAGAACAGACACACAGAGACACAGACAATAGTCACTACATCACAGCCTTGTTCTTTCCGAAGGATAAAACGTCATTCAAGAATGGGGTGAGGTGGTTAGAGGGAGTAGGTACTATCCTTTTAAATGGAGAAAAAAAAAAAAAAGCAACAGGTTGGCATCTTAAGAACACACATAGTGGGCCCAGAAATCAAGCTAAGCCTAAGCCTTAGGTAACATCATACCACTTACCGCATGTCAGAGAAACTAGGGCATTATTCCATTAGAGGAGCAATCTTGTGACAGTGTGAAAACGTTGAGTAGTGATCTTGCTGCATCAGCTAATGGACCAAGGGGCCTCAACTTGATGGCCTCTTTAAAACTCAATGTTTGCCTAATCAAAGATCATTTGGCCAAACTGCTTCCCCACTTCTGCTTAGCTACTTTGGAAGCACAAAAGTTACCCCTTTCCATCCTTTGCCCTTCTCTGCTTGGTACATCTAGATACGAGATAGACAGGCACCACTTAACAAATCACTCCCTTTTGACTACAGGTTGTTTCTCTTCCATATTTGACGAGGCTGGCAACAGCTCCCGAATCTTGGCCTAGCACATCATGAATTGGGAAGCTAAAGCTTTAGCTTAGAATGCCAAGTGACAAGGACATGGCTGAAGCAGGAGGGGCAATTCTGGAGCAAGCGCTTCTGGGCAAACCTCACAACCGAGTTTTTTAAATTAGTGGTCATTTTCTAGAACTAGAGCACACATTCAGGACAAACAGTTCTGATGGGAGAGGGAATGGCTATGAATACATAGATATCAGGCTGTGACCATGACCATAACTTGTACTCATCCAGGACCCGACAGGGTGGAGAGGACACCGCCTCCAGACATGCAAGTTTCTGAACAGTGAATTTTAAGAAAAAGCTGCCTTCTCTTAAAATTAATACCACAAAAACACTCCTGCGTGTCTCATAGCCTCAAACATACACACCCAAATATTAATGCTGGGCAATAGCAACACTCACCCACAACACAGTACTGTATCTTTCATTGCTACACAGTAATGATGTATATACATATCAGCCTTCAAAATGGTAGTGTCACCGCTTGCTACTGTGGCCATCTCCCCACACCCCAAACTGGATAAAATGTTACACTACCCACTAATATATCTACTGACACACAAACCAAGCTTCTTCCAGTTTAACATTGAACATCAATCTACATTTCCAGTGAATGAGCTAAACTTTATGAGTAGGCCATTCAACTTTTCATGATACATTTAGTGCTTAGAAATGTTTGATTCCATTAGCCTGCCCCATAGCTCAGGTGGCCCAAGATGGAGCCTGTAATCTTCCCTGGGGTGTTTGGTGTTTTGAAGGAGTAAAGTAGGAGCAAAAAAATGGATACTGTCCCCTACCCCACCACCCCATCCCACATACCCTCACTGGCATCCAGGAGACCAGCAGCAGGCTCAAGATCCCAAATGTTGGGCACCACAAATAATGTGGTATGTGCCAGGAGCACGGGGCGGCGGGGGGGGGGGAATAGGGGTGAACGAGAAAAAAAAATCAGGCCTGAATTTTTGACACACCATACACTCTGAAATTGCTGTTTAGCAATACATTTGGCCCCACAAAATAGGGGGTAGAGGTGGGACAACAGTTAAACCTAGATAGCCTTAGTCCTAATCACCCACCTTCCTATACCTTGGAAGGCTACTGACCCTTGCCTATGTCCTTTTCTTAGCTCCTCCAGACTTCATCTGAATGCCACTCAGACACAAACAAAACCACACAGCAGCTTCAAGTAGCCCTCTCCATCTCAGCCCTAAGTGAGCTGGCCACTGAGTAATAAAAGAAGCTACCACATTTATAGGGAGGCCAGTCTCCAAATACAATGGAATGGGGGTTTGTTCACTGCTGAGTCAGAAATTGACTGTTATAATAGAGAACAGTTTTAAAAATGTAATACTGTTTATTTAACTTCAAAAACATTTCAGCATTCTAAACATACAAAAAAAAAATAACAGAACGTTGCAAATCATGTTTAAGTACAGGAGGTTCTTGAACTTTCATTGATGCAGTGGCTCTTTGCTTTGCTGACAATGAAGAGTTCTACAGTTTGTTTAAAAACAAACAGTTTAAAAACTACCGCACTTAAAAAAAAAATTCTCATGCCAGCTGACCTCTCTGTCCACAGCTAAGATGGCAGCAGAATGCTATGTCACTATATACAGAAACAAGACAACCTGAAGCTAAATGGATGCCCCTGCAGAGTCAACAGGTCCAGCCTCACAGTGCACGCCCTGAGCTACAGCCCCTCCAAAAGGCATCTTCCCCACAGCCTCAACGCCGAGCAAGGAGCATCAAGAGTTTGTCTCGGTTGTTTTGTTCTTTTTACAAACTATAGATATATACAGTTGAAAACTCAGGATTTCTAGCCAATAACCATAGTTAACACCACCTTACAAATTAAAAAACAAAAGCCAGAAGCATCTTTAAATGCCTTGTCACACCCACAGCAAAGTGCACAGAGTGAGGAGAACACGAAGAGGGCCTTTTCATTTTAAAAATGTTTGGAAATATGTACAACTTTGATACAGTTTCAGGGTGCTCCAGACACCCATGGCCACTTCATGTAAACCAATGACAATTTCTAGAGCACTTTGAGAGACTACAATATGATCGTGATCAAATTTTGTAATTAAACCTAATGAGGGCAACAGACACTTCTCAAATAA